GAAACATGCATGGAAAAGGGAAGATAGTAAAACTTCTGCGCATGTTGAAGGCAGCAGCTCTATTTTTACACACAACAAGGAGAATAAAAGAGCAAGCGTCCAGTGGCGCCTTAAAGACTATCTGAAGACATGAGCAGTAGTGACTCACGAAAGCTCCTCCCCTGCCACAGATTGTGTTAGTCTTTAAGGTGCTCCTGGACTCTTGCTCTTTTCTACTGCTTTTGTTGTTGTTGTTCAGTCGCACAGTTGAGTCCGACTCTCCGCGACCCCATGGACCAGCTCCCGCCAGGCCCTCCTGTCTTCCGCCGTCCTTTGAAGTTTGCTCAATTTCATGTTCATTGCATCTATGACACTGTCTAACCATCTCATCCTTTGCCGTCCCCGTCTTCTTTGACCTTCAATCTTTCCCAGCATCAGGGTCTTCTCCAGTGAGTGCTCCCTTCTCATTGGGTGGCCCAAGTATTTGAGTTTCAGCTTCAGTCTCTGGCCTTCCAGGGAACAGTCAGGGTTGATTTCTTTTAGGGTTGACTGATTTGATCTCCTTGCAGTCCAAGGGACTCTCAAGAGTCATATCTTTTAGCCTTTTGAGACTGTTCATGGGGTTTTCTTGGCAAAAATACTGGAGTGGGTTGCCATTTCCTTCTCCAGGGGGATCACTCTACTGCTACAGACAGGCTAACACAGCTACCCATCTTGATCGATCTCCAAGGAGAATAAAGAAACCCATCTTTACTCTTAGAAAGTCGCTTACACATATGTGGCCCTGAGATCACCAGCGGGGACCCCTAGATACTGAAACCAATATAATGGATAATTTCTAAAAGACTGCACTTGCAAGAATTATACCGGCTGTCCCAATACCATCTGTAAGGGTATATACAGAGTTGGCAGTTACAGGACTGTCCACGATCGCCTTGTTAGATCCTTGTTCAATCTGTTGTATTTGCAGATTTGGTGTGTGCTTTTTATATTCTTATTAAACTTCTTTTCATTTTTAATGCAGTCGGTGTTATCCCTGCGACCCACATGAAGCCCCTGTTCGGTCCACATGTATGAGGAGCAGAAAGGGGAGGGGCAAGTGGTTATACCCTACTCCTCTGGAGTGCTCAACTCCCGTCGAGAGTTGGTCCCCTCAGTAACGAGTGTGAAAGAAGTAAAAGGTAAAGGTAAAGGTTCCCTTGCTCGAAAGCCAGTCGAATCCGACTCTAGGGTTGTGGTGCTCATCTCCGTTTCAAAGCCGAAGAGCCAGTGCTGTCCGAAGACGTTTCCGTGGTCATGTGGCTGGCATGACTAAACACCGAGGCACACGGAACGCTGTGACCTTCCCACCAAAGTGGTACCTATTTATCTACTTGCAATTTCTTGTTTTCGAACTGCTAGGTTGGCAGGAGCTGGAACCAGAGATGGAAGCTCACTCCATCATGCGGCACCCGGGTCTCGAACTGCTGAACTACCGACCTTCCACAGCCTGCAGTTCAGCTTCTTAACCACCTGAGCAAATTTGGTGATATACATTTAGGTGGTAAAGTAGCTGCGAGTCCTGTTTCCCCAGGAAGGAAGGCGTCTCACCTTCTCTGGCTCTTGGGAGGGGACACTAAAAGGTGGTAAGTGACAGCGGAGTGGGTGATGAGTGGTGGGAGTGCCACACCAAACGGTTGAGCGGCCACAGGGAGGGACTCCCTCCTCTTGCAGAAAAGGAACCACAGCAAACCGTTTGGACAGCCTGAAAGGACTTAAGTCCTGGATCCCAAACAAATCAGTGCTAATGAAATCCTTACCTTTGCAAAAGTAAAGCGGACGAAACCGCCATGGAAGGTAATATTCAGAGTCGATTGCCAGATTCCACAGCTTCCGAATGTCCTTGTGGCGTTTGGGTCAATGTTAAGATACTCGTCTTTCTTCTGTGGGAAGAAATACAAGCCATGCCGAGCCAGTACTCGTCTAGGGTTTTTATTTAGAAGCCCCACTCTTTTCAGCAATTCCAGCTGCCCCTTAGTCTCTGCGTCTTGCATCCACTGTAGCAACTATACTATACAGGATCACGAGCCGTAGGCTCTGTATAGTGCCCTGTTTTGATTCCTCTACAGAGGACTGGTGCAGACCTAAAACTAGATTGGAGAAAGTAAAGGACAAGAAATAAGCTGCAGGGACTCACGGTTCCCCGTGTTTTAATTGCCCCCATCGTCCTTCATATTCTTGAGCTGCCATTTCGTCCGACCGATATTAACCGTAATTGATAAACAAACAGGGCTGTGCTAGCTTTTAGAACCCAGGACTGCAAATCTAGGCTTAATTTGCTCGGACCTGGGGTCACATGAAAAGATGACGCTGGCTTATACCAAGTCAGCCCACTGGCCTACCGAGGTTGGTGTTCTCTGCTCAACCTGTCCCCAGCTCTTCCAATTTCCAGAGAGCCAGTTTGGTGTAGTGGTTAAGTGCGCGGACTCTAATCTGGGAGAACCGGGTTTGATTCCCCACTCCTCCACTTGCATCTGGCTGGATGACCTTGGGCAAGCCATAGTTCTGATAAGAGCTGTTCTTGAAAAAGAGCCGTTTCAGAGCTCTCTCAGCCCCACCTACCTCACAGGGTGTCTGTTGTGGGGAGGGGAAAGGAAAGGAGTTTGTAAGCCGCTCTGAGACACCTTTCGGTAGTGAAGGGCGGGGTATAAATCCAATCTCCTCCTCCTCCTCCTCCTCCTCCTCCTCCTCCTCCTTCTTCTTCTTCTTCTTCTTCTTCTTCTTCTTCTTCTTCTTCTTCTTCTTCTTCCAGATCTCAGGCAGAGAATTTTTGCACATGACCCTTTTTTGGGGGCAGGGGTGAATGTGCTTGGTATTGGCCCTGGAACCTTCAGCATTCAAAGCAGATGTTCCACCAATGCGCTACAGTCCTGTCCTCAACTCTGAAGTTTCTGTGGATTCCAAACCAGTTAAATCTTTGAGCAAGTTTTGGAATTTTGAGAAAGGGTGTTTGGGTGCCACCCCAAAATGGCCACCAAGGGAGGTGGGACTAGTCACAAAAAATGGCTGCCACAGGATGCAATCACAAAATGTTTGGCGGTTCCAAGCAAAGCATCCTCCTACAAGGGGCACAGCTACTTCTGAACGGGGACACCCTGCAGATGCAAAAGGGATGCACCCTGGGGGTCTTCGAAGAAGAAGAAGAGAAAGAGATTGGATTTATACCCCAATCCCCAATGGCTAGGGTCATTTGCATTTCCCCACAATAGACACCCTGTGAGGTCGATGGGGCTGAGAGAGTTATTGACAGAAACTGCTCTTTTTCAAGAACAGCTGTGCCAGAGTTATGGCTTGCCCAAGGTCACATCAGCAGGTGCAAGTGGAGGAGTGGAGAATCAAACCCGGTTCTCCCAGATTAGAGTCTACGCACTTAACCACTACACCAAACTGGCTCTTAAGGACCTTCTGCCTCAGTGAGCTGGCTGAAAGCCAGTATTGGCTCCTTGCTGGGCAGAGGAACCAAACGGGCATTAGGGAATGCATCAGCAGGCATCGCCACACTACAGTGGGGATCGCTGGCTTCGGTTCTTTTAAAAAAACTGGGGTTGTGGGAAATAATCAGATAGGAAAAGTTGCAGCTTACCGTTTTGCTGTTTTGAACTTTGAGTGTCAATCCCAGGGATGCTTTAATGCAATCTTCAGTTCCGTTCATAACATTGTAAACCCCAGTTGCAGCTGGTGCTGGTTTAGGCGAGAGGGTGGGCTGTATTGAGGTTGTTGGCAAGGGAGTGGTGGTTTTATTGCGTGCTGGGGCAGATGTCACATTCCTGGAGGCCCTTGTATGTGCTGTATGTAGGGTCGTTGTCCGGTTCGTCAACTCTACGGTGACAGGCTTGGGGATGGTCTCACTTGCAACTTTGGCATTTCCTGTAGTTGATGGCTTTGGGTGAACTGTAGTTTCCTCATGTTGTGGAATCCTGGGTTCTGATGCTGTGGGTTTGGGGAAAGCGTGGATGGGAAGGTGCCAATGTCCACTTCTCCCTGCCCACATCCACACCACTCCCTGGCACAATTTCTTTCTCTCCCCTTATTTCGTCCCACCATTGCTGGGCTTTTTGCTGGCTCTTTTTTAAAAAACTGGTCATAGATAAATCACTATCGCGCAGGAGTCATTTCATGGAAAAACAGGTGCAGGCACTCATTAGCATAACTCATTAGCATAACTTATTTGCATGTGCCACACCCCCTGACATCACCGGAAGTGTGTCAGAAGGCAACACCCACCGCTCAGGCTCCACTGGACTGTTTTGGACTGCTAGCTATTGGGGGGGGGGAACGTGCAGATCTGCCCTCGCAGAGGGGGGAGAGCTTGTACCTGAATAAAACTTGGTTTTAAAGGTGCCACTGGACTGTTATGGATTGCTAGCTGGGGGGGGACGCACAGATTTGCCCTTGCAAAGGAGGAAGAGCTTGTGGCTGAATAAAACTTGGTTTTAAAGGTGCCACTGGACTGTTTTGGGCCGGGGGGGCCCTCTGCAACTTACCTGGCTGCTTCTTGCTCTGACTGAGGGCTGCTGGGAGCAGGGGGTGGGGCTTGTTGCATGTGCCCGCCCCCTGGGCTCTTTACTGCCGGAGCTCTGCTCCTGTGTGCTCCTGCAGGAAATGGCCCCTGCTATCGCGTAATGACACAATAACGATATATCCATGGCCAATTCTTTTGGTCCAATCGCTGCTAATTTTTCAGTCCAATTACAATGAATTGCTAGTGCAGTTTTTTTTAAACAGTGCGGAAACGCAAGAAATACCCACATGGGGCAAACTCCATGCTGCCGTGAATGTCTCTGCATTTACAGCAGCAATGAGGGCAGGGTGGGGCATCATTCCCCCAAAGAACCTCTGCAGGTGGAGGATATTAAGAATAAGAACTCCGTACGGAAGCAACTTTAGCACCCGGATTTCATGCATTCTTCTTAATTAAATCCAGGGGTCATTTCCTGCAAGAGCACACAGGAGTGGAGCTCCGGCAGTAAAGAGCCGAGGGGGCGGGCACATGCAATAAGCCACACCCCCTGCTCCCAGAAGCCCTCAGTCAGAGCAAGAAGCAGCCAGGTAAGTTGCAGAGCCCCCCCCCATCCCCCGGTCCAAAACAGTCCAGTGGTACCTTTAAGACCAAGTTTTATTCAGGTAGAAGCTCTCCCTCCTCTGCCAGGACAGATTTGCACGTCCCCCCCCCCAATAGCTAGGAATCCAAAACAGTCCAGTGGAGCCTGAGTGGTGGGTGTTGCCTTCTGACACACTTCCGGGGGTGTGGCATATGCAAATAAGTTATGCTAATGAGTTATGCTAATGAGCTCCTGCACCTCTTTTTCTACTAAATGACCCCTGATTAAATCAAAACAGCTGTTGACCTTAGAACCTTAGCTTGTTATTTAGTTTCATCTTTGGGTATCTTAAAACATCTTCATCGTGTTGCATGTTAATTTGCTGTTCAGCCTCCGTCTATAAGTTTGAACTCTTACCTTCCGTTCCGATGTATTTGAGAAAGTGTGCCTTCCAACACGAAAGCTCACACCTTGAATAAACCTTTGTTGGTCTTAAACTGGACTCTGAATTTGTTCTTCCCTCTCGGTGCCCTTTTACGTTCATGATGCATGAACTGAATTGTGGTCCTTCACTGTGCATTGTAAACCCCCTTGGGTAAAGTGGCAGAAAATCTATCCATCAACAGGTGAAATAAACACCTACAATGACATTTTAATTGCCTCTACATAGAGACCTGGGCTCCTCTCTGCTGGACATTCAGCTGGGGGAATCCCTTAGATGGACAGAAAGGAAAACTAATTATGGGCAGAAAGGAGCGTTCCACTGAAAGCAAAAGAAACACGCAAAGGCTAGAATAAAGACTAGAATGAGGACTCCAAAGAGCACAGATCACTAAAGAGAAGATTTGTTTAAAAATCATTCATGGTTGTTAAAATCTGGAGATGCTCATCACAAAATCTCAGTGAAGGTGAGGCAATGGGTATAAACTGAGAAGTTGGGCAGACGATAGGAGAGGACGAGGAGGTTCCACTGCCTTTAAGAGCTATTAAGGAGAGGGATTTTCCAGCAGTCGCAGATCACAAACAATGACCGTGTCAGATTGTTTCTCTACTTACCACTGCCCAGGATGAGAAGCGACCCCACCACCACCAGCAGCTTCTGCCAATTCAGGGGGACGGGAGCTGCGGAGCCGGCCATGCCTTCGTGAAGAGCTTTCAGCGGAGGGGAAGTGAAGCTCAAGGAGCGCAAAGGTTTTGGTGCCAGCAGCCAGCACGTCACATGTGAAGGAGGGATGGGTGGGGGAAGCTGTTCATAAACTGTAACCCACAGCCCTGCCAGAAGAGCTGGCGGAACCGAAAATGGAAGCCAGACTTGCTGATGGTCTCCCCGGGGGCACGTGATTCTGTCTTAAAACCCAGGTCTAAACCAGAGGCCTCTCGGGGCACAAGGGCAAAATCCCCCAAAGGAAAAATGTGATTCTCGGGTGTGCTTTTAATACCTGGATACTCCCACCAAGGATAACGCCTCAAGGACCTCACTCCACATTAGGTGTGCCAAGCGCCTTCGGGCAAAAGGGCTTGCAAAGAAGAAGAAGAGGAGGAGGAGGAGGAGGAGGAGGAGGATCATCCAGCAGCTGCGAGTGGAGGAGTGGGGAATCAAACTCGGTTCTCCCAGATTAGAGTCCGCACACTTAGCCACTACACCAAACTGGCTCTCATAGACACGTTTCCGTGGTCATGTGGCTGGCATGACTAGACGCCAGGGTGCACAGAACACTGTTACCTTCCCACTAAAGCGGTACCTATTTATCTACTTGCGATTTCTTGCTTTCGAACTGCTGGGTTGGCAGGAGGTGGGACCAGAGATGGGAGCTCACTCCATCATGCAGCACTCAGGTCTCGAACTGCTGAACTACCGACCTTCCGGTTTGCAGTTCAGCGTTTTAACCACTGAGCCACCGTAGCCCCGAGCACAGTGTAGGTAGCACAAAAAATTAAGAGCAGCTCAGAGCCATTTACAGGAGAAAATTCAGGAGACGAGGGAATTGGTCTGCATAGGCCCTAAGAGACTATGGAAGTCTGGCGGGGGGGGGGGATTCACAGAGAGGATTAATTCTTCCTAGTCCCCAGAACCCAACATAGCAACAAAATAGGGCAGGGACCAGAAGACAGAGAGAAAAAAGGACAACTGGCATGCACAGGTCTTTCATTGTTAGAAACTTCTTCATTTTTTGTTTAACAGGGGTCATTTCCTGCAGGAGCGCACAGCAGTGGAGCTCCGGCAGTAAAGAGCCGAGGGGGCGGGCACATGCAACAAGCCCCACCCAAGCCGGCAGGGTAGTTCGCAGGCCCCCCCCCCCGGCCCAAAAATGTCCAGTGGCACCTTTAAGACCAAGTTTTATTCAGGTACAAGCTCTCCCTCCTCTGCGAGGACAGAGCTGCACATTCCCCCCCTCCCAATAGCTAGCAATCAAAAACAGTTCAGTGGAGCCTGAGCGGTGGGTGTTGCCTTCTGATGCATTTCCGGTGATGTCAGGGGGTGTGGCCTATGGGGTGCCACAGGGAGCTGTGCTGTCCCCGATGCTATTTAACATCTATATGCGCCCCCTTGCCCAGATTATCCGGAGTTATGGGTTGGGGTGTCACCAATATGCGGATGACACCCAGCTCTATCTGATGCTGGGCGGCCGGTCGGACTCGGGTCCCGATGACCTGTATCGGGCTCTTGAAGCTGTGGCTGGTTGGCTCCGACTGAGTCGATTGAAACTAAACCCGGCAAAGACGGAGGTCCTGGGCTTGAGTCGGACCGGG